GCAGCGTCTGCGCTGATACTCCGAGGTACTGGAGCGCCATGCCGCCACCCGTACAGTCTGCTTTGAATAATGCAGTGCATTCATCTTTCCGGCTGCATGCTATTTTACGTGAAGAGGCTCGTTCATCCTCGCGTCTCGCTGACGCCGCCATCCAATGGTGCAAGGCTTGGTGGGGAAGGAATAGCTGAATTGCTAGCTAATGTCAGGCTCCTCGCTGTCTGTCAGAAAATTGATGACTTCCTGTCTACCAGCTACAACACGTTTGCGATGCGATAGCTTCATGCGAAAAGAATATACAGACGAAAGAGGTGAAGAAAATGTAAAAGGAACTTTGAGGTCGGAGACCTGGTTGTATTAAACGCTGAAAACGTTTTACCCATGCAATTTTTTTTAAGGTTGTGGTCAAGCGGGGCCTTGCGTATACGCTAAATTTTCCGAAACTGATGCGCACCCACCCGGTGTCTTATGTGGGCTTGCACAAACCGTTCCGAGATCCGGCGCAAGGCGCATCTCCAACGACACCAAGCGCTCCACATTTCCGTAAGGAGGCGCATTTGTCTAGGAGCCGCTCTTACAAAGCGCGATAGTCCTCAAGGTGAGGCAGCTGGTCCAAAACGTGCTCCAAGCTCTCCAGGTCATCTGGGCCGCGGTATGCGACCCCATCATGATGCCCAGCGGTGTCCTGATCGCGACGGATGTCGTTCTCAAGAGATCAAAGAGCATCGTGACTCACCGGACGGCGATTGACCCAGTTGTCACCGTCCGCCGTCGACTCTTATCGACGAGAATGGTGGTATCCACTATAACGTGGAACGTATTGCAGGTCAACGTTGTCGCCAGGGTCAGGCTCACTATCTCGTGAAGTAGCGGGGATACCCCAGCTTCGAGAGCTCGTGGGAGTTTGAAGTGCCTTTTCGGCAGTGCTGCTCAGACCTAAGGACGCTTATGATCAGAGAGATCATATAGTTCAGCGTCGTCGTACGCTTCGCGCTTCTTAGCAATAATCATTGGAAGCTGAAAGACCATGAGCCAAGCTCAAGTTATTGCCGTGAGGTGCTGCGGTCGCCAACTCATCCGTGTGGAGACCTCAGCGCTCGCGGGAGGTATCAACTCATACACCACAAGGCGACAATCCGAAGGAAGTCGGAAACGCGCCTTGAGTTTGGCAAACTCAAACCGATGATGGCTTTCCACACGCGCGTCTATCTCCTTGTGGTTCAACTGTAAGCGATACAGCGAGTAAAATTTCTGGGGCCGCTGCACCCATCGTTCAAAAAGCCTTCTGTCGACTTCAGTTGCTTCGCCAGGGGCAAGCACCACAGGAATTGTCCGCATCGCGGGTACAAGAGCGCCTTTTCTTTGAACACGAAGTTGAGTGCGGTATGTATCTACCAGAATTTCTTGGGGAACCAAGAAGCGAGCTTGGAAAGCTTTTTGTTTTTCAAGGTCAACTTGTGTAGTGGCCGGTGGCCCAATCCCGTAGACGCCCAACGATCGAGTGTTCGCATCCTTCGCCTCTGTAGAGGGATCCGCCGAGCATAAGCCGTATTTCACGCGAGGATCGAGGACCGATCATGGATGCGCGCGCATGAGAGCCGCCCTGCGGACAGCACCGAGATGCTGGTTCTGTGTCCCTTCGAGGTCATAGGTAATGACACCGTTTTCCTCGAAAGTCGAGAGTTTGGAAATTGCGTTTACAAGGTTCAAGTCACCGTTCGGGCTTTTTTTATGACTCACCAAAGCTTCACTAGAAGACGTGCGCGTAGCGCCCAAAGTCTTCGACCTCCAATCGATTCATATCTCATGGTGCTCCAACCATGCTATACCAAGGATGAGATAATACCTTAAATCTAAGCCTGAGATTCAGCATCGTTCCACGCTATCAAAATTAAGAAACTTGACACCGAGGTCCACAGAGACCCTCGACACCGTGACACGTTAAGCGAACAGTGACGATTTCACCCAACTGCGCTTTTCAGCACCTCAACATACAGCTGACTTCTTTCTATCATGGAGCGTCGAGCATAATTGCCCGACACCCCGGAGCCGATCACGAACTCCCATAGCTTCTCAAAGCCCTTCACGGTCGCTTTGCTGATGTCAACTGGCGGAATTGTTTAAACGATAGACTCGGTCTGTGCGACGCCATGAAAAGTTCTGATTAGTAAAAATTACATGTAAAATCCTGATTGTTGAAGAAGTGGACAGTACGCGGAGAAATTGATTTTGAATATGACTACCATATCTATGTCTTTTGCAAAGACTGTATTTGTTTTGTTCCAAATGTCCTTTAAATCTTTCAATTAAGTCTAAAAATCTGTCCAGTGGAAGCTGTAGAGGTTAGACCTTGATTTGAGGTATGTACTCATTCTACTTTCTTGCGCTAGTGCTCGCAATTAGTCGTGGTCTTCCTAAATCTTCTTTTGATAAGACGGAAAGTTATGGCATTAAGCTGAGGTTTCCAGATAGCAATTGTGTGTCGGTCTTCAACCTTAAATTTGTGGAGATTGCGAGAAGAAAATTTTGACCCTTACTTATGTCAAATAAAGAAGACCATCCTCGTTGTGCCTGCTTTGAAAAATATCAACTGTTTGTGCTATCAAAATTACTGCAAATACTAATATCTTTCCATGCAGCTGGACGGCTTGTGTCCCTTGGGTTCCTTCAATCATGCATAAAGTGATTGGGATAGTCTTCTAAGATATAAGTCTCTTCTTAGAACACTGTGAAATGTGTTTAACGTAATTAACAGGAAAGTGCAAGTGAGGGACTATAATTGTGCAAGTCTTGATTTATTTATATCCAAGCCCAAACAGAGTAATCATGAAATATGTCGAGTGGTGACCCGGAAGCCTTGACATGTGGATCTTACATACTTATCCCTGTCAACAAGTGCCAAAAAAAATTAGCACGAAGTGGCTAATTACTGACAAAAGGTGTTTTGCCCTTCTTATCTCCCTGATCGTAATGGTAATATATTAGTTTCGAGGGACCAAACTTGAATCTGAAGTCGCTACAGGAGCTTCTAGATTACCTTTTCTAGCAGCACGAACATCTGGCGCGAGTAGATGGTTTCATTCAAAAAAGATTGACCTAAACATTTTCTTACATCAATTATAAAAGCTGCAGCCTCTAATCCTGATATCTTCAACAAACGATGCTACTGCTGCCATCTTTTCGACTCTTGACACAATATTTGGGCTGGGAAGTACTTAGCAGTGGATATGATTAAAGTATCACTCACTTAGAAGCGCAATGAGAGCCACTCATTAGCCAACAAAATATTGATTTTTTTGTCAAGTCCATTGCTGATCGTTAAAGATTTAAAAAGATGCTGATGAAGTCCATGTACTATATGTTGATTGAGATTTGTCAGCGATGGAAAAGTAACAATGAATGAACTTGAAAATGTTATTGGACATTACCTTATATTGCTCAAGCTCGCACATCAAGATGTTGCTTAAATTCTGCTCCATCGACCGGTTGCTTTTAAGAAACCGAGACATACTTTGCCTGTGAAAAAGTGCATTGGTGGAATCAGAAATGTAAGGACTCTTGTGCCTTGCATACTCGTGCAAGATAGAAAAAGACTCAGAATGTCATGAACAATTACAAAATGTGGTCTCAGATGAATTTAAGCTGGAGCTCGTATGCATTACGTCAATGCTTTTCGCTAATATTTTTGCGAAACAACGACAAAATGACAAATAAGCTGTAAAACGAGAGAAGAAAGTTTCTGTCTTGAAGCATGTAGAGCGATGATTACTTAATGAATTGAGCGCTGCGACGAAGACAATTGTCATTTAAAAACTCATAGATGCTGTCAACGATGGAAAGACCGTAAGTCTAAAGAGCGTTTATGTTGCTGGCCTGACATCTTCATCGACATCAACAACGTGATGTATATGCATCGTATCACTCGCTTCGCTATGTCATTTGCGAAAAGCTGATACAATAACACAAGATATTTACGCTATTTGGTCAGATCGAACTTTAAACACTCTGTTCAACGACTAGATCGAGCTAAAAAACACATTATTTACTAAGACTATCCTGATCGAGCACCACTTGATTTGGGAACATCTTTATTTACCGACAGGTAGCTCGCATACCAGTTTACCAGGTTGATATCACGGTATGGCGGGGATGGCTCTCGAGACGACGTAAATGTTGATAGCTACGACAGCATCAAGGAGCACAAAAGCTATGACACAGCAAACAATTGCACGCATGGCTCTCAAAATCGTTTAGTAGTCGGTGGCTTGCGGAGTGGATTGAGAAATGAGTCAGATGAGCCTAAAGCAATAGCGTATCGAAGTCGTGCTATCATTCAAATTCACAGATTGATACGTCAAGGAAAGCATAATATTTAAACGACGTCCTTTTTCAGCCGATGCTACATAATCACTGTAAGAGAAAAGAATTTTGGGCAAACTGGACACCCTATCATCAGAACTATCAAGAGGCCCGTTCCTGGATGTGGGCTGCCTCTAAGAAAAAAGGTGGTTCTTTTATTATACAATCACGAATTTGGCTGTTGACTGTACAGTAACATGCCACTTAATAGATTTGATGAAGTGATCTTTTCTCTTGTTTTCGAAGACTGGGTTGTCTATCGTTTGCGGTCTTCCGGTTCATGGTGTTATCAGAACAATAGACACTTTTTGTAGATCGCCATTCCTTCTATGATGTCTACAGTTCTGGCAGATGCGACACATGACGAGTGTGACATTTGTCGAAATTGTGCGAGGTGTGTTACATGCATAAAGACGAAGGATCTGTTGTTGCATCAAAGCATTATGATATATTACAAATGATTATGACTTCACGTCGTCCGTATGGAGTGGAGAAACATTGAGTAACATGCCTAATGTCCTCTATGCCCATGTAAGTATTTGGAGGTTTGGACTTGATAACTTGGAAACGATGCCATTTCACAGAATTTTCGACAAATCTTACCGCAACATATGATCAGGATAAGGATCAAGCAGGCGTTTTTTTTAACCGTCACACAAAGAAATGCAGAGACGACTGAAAATTTTACCGGCAGTGGCCGTAATGTCGCCAGAAATCGCGCTTGTCCACGCAATCCGCCAACAGCTAAACATTTTTGCGAATAGAGACCAATCTCCTCCATCCCAGAGCGTTGTGGATGCTCCTTGACTTCTCGAAACAAGTGAATTGCACGCGTAACTGAATTTTAATGGATCGCCATTCAGCGTGCGTACTAGCCCGGCACCTTGAGACTGAAACTTAACGCGCTGGATTGCTCGTGGTGACTATTTTTTGCAGAAGTGAATTAAGCGGAGATTTGTTCCAACAACACATTGTTACGCTATTGCGCAACTTTCGCTAGCAAAGTAGAGATATTGCTGCATTTTCAAAAGAATGTGCTACCGCTTTCCATACTCTGGGTCTCTACGATGAACCACAGAATGTTCAAATCTCGGAACAAAAATTTTGCATTGAGCACGTCAAACATGGTTTCGTTCGTTAAGGAGAACGATCAGTAATCAGTTCAAAACTTCAACACTGCGGTACCCCAATTGTCGACCTCGTAGCGAATATTCCGGCACTCTGTGGCGTGAACACATTTAAGCCAACTGTGGACCTAAGTATTCTCGTGAGACGAGAACAGGATCATAAACTCACAGACTGAACACTCCATACCCTGAGCACAACAGATTTGGTGTTGCCGACTTTGCCGTATGTATTTGCACAGCTTAGTGAGCGTGGTTTTACATCCGTTTTGATAACTTTGAGCTCTTTGAACTTTTGCAGTGCTTTACACAGTCGATTTGCGATCATCTTTACCTGCTTTACCTTGTCTTTGATGATAACATCAGCGCATTTGCGTTTTGTCGAACAACATTCGCAATTCGCTGATCGACTACGCAAACTAAAGTTTAGTAGAGTGAAAAGGTCAAATAATTTGCTCACATGTAATAGGTATAATGAGTTTTGGCGTCACAAAATCGTTTGTTGATCAATCAAATTCGTGTCTAGCTACAATGAACGCAATCACCAAGTAGCAAAGGTAAGACTTCTACATCCCCCTGTGCTTATTACATTGCTATTCGAAATGGATTGACCCCAAGAATGCAGTATCTCGCAAAATATCTAGTCTTGAAAAATCTAGTTTAAAGGTGTGATAAATACTCAATTACTATAGTGCGCTAAAGTTTAACTTGCTTGAAAGCGATCATTTGGTATGTATCATCATAAACCTTAACCGAAGTGCGGGTATTGCTCATCACTGAATCTTACCGTACTTCACAAAAAAACACCTGACCTGCTTTTGAAAGGTGATTTTGTTAATATTAAAGGTGGTCAAAACTGAACCAAAATTGTGATTATTTTGTTAGGTTTTTAGGGCACCTTATCAAAATTGTTGAC